TTTGATGTGAATATCCCAAGGACAGAAGGGTCCAAGCTTGTTCAGGAATAGGCAAGTTACTCCTGTCTGCCAGCCTGGTTGAATCTAGCCAGGAGGAAGAGAGTTGTATATGTAATAAATGTATGCATCCACCCACTGCTCATTTGAAAAAATCTAAATTAATATACACAATACTGTAGCTTACCTGTAGTTTCTGGGTCAAAGAGTCCCTCTGTGCCTGAAGCTCTCTGGCATTGTCAATTTCTTGTTTCAATCGTTCTATTTCCTGAGGGAAGAAAAACAACATATTACCTGACCTGAACATAGGTTACAGATAATATACTTATTCTCTTCTGTCCAAATCATTCTAATTATGACAGTGAACAACTGGTTACCTTGACATTTCCAGTGTGTTACATGTAAAAATCACTAATAGCATGGCTTCAGCAACTTCTGTATTGCATTCATTTGCATGTTAGAAATTCACACTCCTATACTGAGTTATATGAATTGTTGCTCAAAATGCAATAAGTAACATGTTTGCCACCAAAGTATACAGTTTGTTCACCTGGGCCCCACCCCCGCTCTTCCCCTGAGAAGGGCTGGATTATTATTTTCTTTGTAAACTGGGAGCCATGACACTCAGGAAACTGATCCTGGTCTGACTTTTCGTTTAAAATGTTGTATATTGTATACTAATGTTCTCTTCCTCCTCTTCAAGAAAGAAATCCAGTCTTGGGTTGGGAGTTGTCAGTATGTCAGCAGCAAGGAAGAAAACCTGTATCAGCAGACATGGACACTAGGGGTGCCTATAGATGTTTAAGGCCCCGCTCCAACTCATGGCACTTTACAAGAAAGCCATGAGTTAGAGCCCTCCCTGACCCAACTCCGAGGAGGCTGCTGAACTGCCCCTCTCCCCAGCCCTGCCCCCCCAGCTGGGGTACTGGGGGGAGCTGGACCAGGTCCACAAGGCGAGGAGGCTCCAATTCCACCTCCCCTCCCATGTCCAGCTCAGGCCGGGCAAAGCAGCCAGTAGCTGCTGCTGCCACTTTCAAGAGGCCTAGCCAGAAATGGGGTGGGGGGCTAGGGTGGAATGGAGCCCCCTCACCTCATGGACCTGGCCCAGTTCCTCCCAGTACCCCAGATGAGGTAGCTGGGATGGGGGACACATGAAGCGAGGAGGCTCCATTCCACTCCCCCTCACCCACTTCCAGCACAGGCTAAAATGGCTTAACTACTTCTAGTAGCCAAGCTAGCCCTGATCTAAGGGGGCAGCAGGGCAGGCCCTATGAGGAGAGGCTAT